ACCGTGCATTAATTCCATAGTTGATGAGTATAAAGTACCAACAAGTATAATAATTCATTCAAGTGTATCATCAAAAAGTCAAAATTTTTTGCTTACATATAGCTACAAACTAAGAAAAAGGGTCTAAAAAACGGTTGCATCATGAAAAGTATTCTTTGTAGTTCTCAGATAATGTGTGATTTTTGGGGGATTTTTAATTCCATTTTAAATGACGGAAAAAAATTACCGGCGCAACATTAAAAAAACGATGAAATCGAGGGTTTTTGGGATTCGAGTCTCGGAGTTTGACGGCGCGTGCAAGCTAAACGACAGACTTGACGATCAATGTTGTTCAGATCATTATTGTAGATAATTTTACGCTCTACAAAAAAAGGTACGTATTATATAGTTAGTTACCCTATCTTGTTTAGTTTTCGAGATATTTGATAAAAAATAAAAAAATCGCGTTTTTTTGTTGATAATATTGTTAATAACTTTTTATTCCGCGTTAATTTTGCGAGGCAAAATAAATCCCACTTATAGCACCTCAAATCAAAGCGATTCATGGTGGTTGCAACCTGGGAAGATTAATTGAACGATTCGATGTCTAATATGACTGGCCTATATCGTAAGTTACTACAGAAGTAACGCTCGCGCAAACGTAGTATAAGTTAAGTTATAGATGTGCTTTAGCCTATTTCGGTCTATTGTTCTTTTGATTGTTTTTTTGTCTAGTAATTAATATGTATTAATATTTATATATTTATTACTAATTATTAAATATTATTTAATATTAATAATAATAATTAAAGTATATTAATGTTTATTAATTGTTATAATTATTAACATTGTTAATTTTTATTAATTATTATCAATTATCATTTTTGTATTAACACGCTTTAATAATAAATTGTTATGTAATTTCTTTCGCATTTTTGGAGAAATTCTGCACTTTTTAGTTTTATTTGCTTTTTTAATGGCGCGCGTTTATTTCGATAAACCCCTGCTCTAGCTTGGACGAGAGATGAACAAGGTCAATAAAGCGATTTTTGTTTCATTAGAAGTTTTGGCTATGGTCTACTTAAGATACAGAGTTCACTGGTTTCTTGATAAGTCAACTTCTTCACACTCTTAGACCCAGTTTCACAAGTGTCGGTTAACTTTTAATCTTAGATTAACTCACTCTTTGCCTCCTTCTAACGTCCCTCTTAGAAAAAAACGAAGAGTGAGTTAATCTAAGATTAAAAGTTAACCGACACTTGTGAAACTGGTCTTTAGGGCCTAAGCAGAATGGCTGTCTTATAACCTTAAGGCAGTGTTTTATTCCTTAAATCTTTGTCTTATGTAACGCACAATACTGTGTTAATGTTTCCTGTCTTGTGTAGTATACGTCGCGTATACGCGTATATATTTTTTATATTCGTTTATGTTTTTACATTAAAGAAATTTAATGTAAGAATAGTATATTGTACAACTAGTGGGAAAAGTGGTCAATTCTGAATGAGTGTGAAGTTGGTCGCACTCGCTTCGCTCATGCGACCATCAGACTCATTTGGGCTCGACCACTCTTCCCACGAGTTGTTCATACTATTTTTCCTAACAAGAGCGTGAAACAGGCCGCTTTTCGCGCTTGTTTTACAATTTCATTTCTCCACTAGTTGAGAAATGGCTCCATGTTTCAACGCTTACGTCATCATTGCGAAATGGATCGTTTTGCTCACTCAAAACAAGCGCGAAAAGTGGCCCATTTCACGCTCGCGTTAGGAAAATAATATTAAAATTGTACCCTAAATTGTATGAAGAATATTAAAAATGTTACACTCGAAAAGAAATATCTTTTTAAAAACGATTCAGAAAAGGCGTTATTTGTTGCATCTTCTCGATATTTAATATTTAAATTTTCAATTTAAATTTAATATTAATTTTTTAAATAAAAATTAGTACTTCTATATACGCTATTATTTTTTTCGCGCTTCGCGCGGGTTCAAAATCTATTCCCCTCTCCCCAAACTCACTTATTAATTAGGAGCACTTTTGATATTCTTTCTCCTCAAACTCTAACCTACATCTTCAAATTCTTTTTTAAAAAATAAAAAATAATAGATAATATTAATATAGATGCAGATTAGCATATTGTCAAATATTTTAAAAATGTGTATATATATAATCCCTTATATTAAAGTTTTTAAATTTTATTTTTGCTCGCCCCTCGCGCGTTTTCACCCTCCGTTGACCCGCCATTATTAACGCTCTTTTATTTTTTTCCATTTTATTTTCTCTTTGCGAAATCATCAAAAAATTAGAAAAATTTTGGCACCGGTTTCAAGAAAATCAATTCTTAATGAAAAATTATCCATTAATAAAAAATTAAACTTATCCTCCTAAAATTAAAAAAATTTTGACACTTGACTCCTATTTTATATATAATTCTTTAAGATTTGGTCAATTAATTCCCGAAAAATTGGAAAAATTTTGTAACTGGTTTCCAAAAAAATCGGTAACGAAAAATTATACACTTTTATATAGCAATCCCCGGGAAATTTTACCTCTATTTCATATGTAATTCTTTAAGATTCGGTCAATTAATTCCCGAAAAATTGAAAAAATTTTGTAACCGGTTTTCCAAAAGATCGGTAACAAAAAATTATACACTTTATAGCAAACCCCAGAAAATTCTACCTTTATTTCATACACAATTCTTTGAAATTCGATCAATTAACTCCTGAGAAATTTGAAAAATTTCGTAACCGGTTTCCACAAAAATCGATAACGAAAAATTATCTATAAAAATTATCCATAAAAAAAATTCAGCTTGATATCTCAAAATTTACGAAAATTGAAACAGAAATCGGAAACCCTTTTATTATTAGCAATTTTTCTATAAACTCATTGTAGCCATCCTTAGAAAATTTTGAAACCGGTTTCCAAAAAATTTATTATGAAAAATTATACACGTTTTTGCCATCCCCGAAAAATTAAAAAAATTTGAGCATTGTTTTTAAAAAAGTAACGAAAAATTATCTCTAAAAAAATTCAGCTAATATCTCAAAATTTGAGGAAATTAGAACAATCACGTACATTTTTTTAAACAAAAATTGGAAACCTTTTTAGAAAAATTGGAAAAACTTCGTAACCGGTTTCAAGAAAATCAATTCATTAATGAAAAATTATCCATTAATAAAAAATTAAACTTATTCTCAAAAATTAAAAAAATTTTGACACGCGACTCCTATTTCATATATAATTTTAATTTGGTCAATTAATTCCTGAAAAATTGGAAAAAATTTGTAACCGGTTCCCAAAAAAATCAGTAACAAAAAATTGTACACTTTATAGCAATCTCGGGGAAATTCTACCTTTATTTCATATGTAATTCTTTAAGATTCAATTATTTCCCGAGAAATTGGAAAAATTTTGTAACCGGTTTCCAAAAAAATTGGTAACAACAAATAATACACTTTATAGCACTCCCCAGAAAATTCTACCTCTACTTCATATACAATTGTTTGAGATTCGGTCAATTAATTTCCGAAAAATTGGAAAATTTTCTGATACCGATTTCCCCAAAGATTGGTAACGAAAAATTATACACTTTATGGCAATTCCCGGGAAATTCTACCCATATAATTTTTTAAGATTCGGTCAATTGATTTCTGAAAAATTGGAAAAATTATGTAACCGGTTTCCAAAAAGATCGGTAACGAAAAATTATACACTTTATAGCACTCCCCGGAAAATTCTACCTCTATTTCATGTATAATTTTTTTAAATTCGGTCGATTATTTCCCGAAAAATTATATAAATTAGAAAAATCGGTTTCCAGAAAATCGGTAACAAAAAACTATACACTTTATGACACTCCCCGGGAAATTCTACCCCTATTTCACGTACCCTTGATAAAAATTCGGTCCAAACGAATGAGTAGTTCGCGGTCAGACAGACATACATACATACATACAGACGACGGTACTTATAAATATAGATACAATATCCGAATATGTTATTATTACGTGTGTTTTGTTACAAAATACACTTGAATTCACTTTCAACAAAAGGAAGGAAAACCTTCTTTCGCGATTCGTTTATAGCGACGTTAATCAACGGAAATGAGAACAAAAAGCTCGCTGATGCAGAACTCGAAACACTCGCCGTATCAGATGGGAATTACGTTTTGACACACCGCGCGACGCACCGCACGATACACATTAATCAGCGGGGCGTGATGTGCACTAAATAAATAATCCAAATGTGTGCGACTCATCAAAAGCAAGATGTGTCGCCAGAATAACAATTCATGCAACAAATTTTACCTCGAATTGGCGTGTGTTAAATTTTATTTAATTTTTAAACGAGCGAAAGTGTAACAAATATACACACACAGAATAATTGACAAGCGATAATTATCGCAGTTTTCCAGCGATTATGAGTTTAATAATTTATAGGAGTGTTCTATCTCTCCTTACACGTCTATTAATCGATACTCGAAACTTGCGATATCGTCCGTCTCGATGCGCAATTTATTTGCGGGAATATTTCCTGCGCGCGTTATCGCCGCTACGATATTGCGATCTAGCGTTTGACATCGTTTGCGGAAAAACTGGTTTCTCATCAAGCATACGCAATCTCCCGATGATAAATGGTCATACCTCCGATACCCCCATTGCGTCTTCACCAGGGTGCCTGCATAAGCTCAAAGTAGATCGAGCAACATTATACAGAACGAGTACGAATGTTATTAAATCGCTTAACAGTCATAGGGTACAATATCGTTCTTATTCTAATATGTATATTTTTGTTAAGATAGATAGTTTGTCGCCTCTCCTCCGGTTCCAGCGCGCTACCAAGCAGGTGCGCTGACAATGAGAAAAGAAAAGCATCGCGCAAACCATGCACGCTTCGACGTAAAGCGCGAGCGGTGAGTCAATGTCAGCGTCGCGTTCAGTAATATGTGTGGTGTATGTATACATGCCGTTCTTAACGTATCTCCCCGCTCATTGCCGTTGTCATCGCCGTCGTCGTCGTCAGTCCGGGTGGAGATAAAAGAGATCGGCGAACTTATGCCCCGTTAGTATCCGCGTGTTCTGCGCGGTGAGTGGAACACGGTCTGATCTGATCTGCCTGGCGGCCTGGAGAGCACCACTTCCGAAGAACCAGTTTCCAAACACACATTCGCGTCCGTCAAGCAGAGAATCGCCGTCAAGCCGGAATCGCGCAATTCTACAAGGTGACTAAGTGAGACTGAACTTGACCTGTATATCAAGAGACTCCGTAGCGTCGAGAAACGATAAATCGATCGACACGATTGTACTGAACTTCGAAGACTTCACGAATACTGTTTTGTTGCGCTTTCTCTCAGGTTGGTGTTAATTGTCACTTATTCGAATTTCGATAGTCTTAAAAAAAAATTTATTAACAAGAAATATCGTAAATGAATCGATTCTTACGCTGCCTTTTTACGCCGGCACGTTTGTATGCAGGGAAAACTTTAATAGCTAATATAAAAGTGATAGTGTAGGACATCAAAGCGATATACATTGTTATTGCAATGTATATAATTGTTATTTATATATGTCTTGTGAAAAAATAAGGGCACTAAACTAATGTCCCTTCTAAAGTATAGAACCGCAACACGGTGTTAGCGTTGATAATTATATATTTGTATTTTAAAATAAACTACAAACATTTCGGTCTGTTACAAGACCGTCTTCAGTGTACAAATTAGTCAAACAGTTAAAATAATTAGAAAATATTACGCATGGGTTACAACTTTACAACACAGCGGTTTTTGCATAGGTAATTTCTAATTTTAACTGTAACCATGCGTAATATTTCTTAATTATTTTAACTATTTTGACTATCCCAGATAGCTAAGCGTTCCTTGGCATAAGAAAGAAAATAGTGTTTGGCATAAGTTTTTCCCTTCAATTGTCATCATATTGCTGTTACCGGACAACAGTAATTTCGTTTAGAGCAACTTAAAAGCATTGTGCAGACAACTATTACCTTACGCCTTACGCAAACAAGCGCAAAGCTCGTAGCATACTTATTGCCATAAAAGTTGCCACAATCTGTTGGCAACCGTTTTGGTGACAATAAATGTCGGCAATCCAATAGGCAAAATCGGAAGCCGCTTTCCTCAATATTGAAGGCAACTTAAGTAAAGCAGTTTTAAGCAAATTGACAGCAACTTGCGGGCAACTTGCTGTCTGGGTAATTTGTACACTGAAAATGGTCTTGTAACAGACCGAAACGTTTGTAACTTATTTTAATACAAGTACATATATAATTATATCAACGCTAACACCGTGTTGCGGCTCTATGCTCATTAATTTCTTAATTAATTTGTTAATCGTCTGAGCCTTTAATACTTATACTTCTAAAGTAATCTTCAATTGCTGATATAGACGTAGCAATAGAATGAGAGTATAACGGAATGTTTTTATAAATTGCAATAATTAATATTGTAAGTTTTTTGTAAAGAACAACGATTTTGAATTACTGTTCTTTTTAAAACTAATTGATTTAGTCATCATTTCCTGTTTGTCAATTATCAATTTTACCATCAATTAGTAAACACATTATAACTTTTTACGCAGAGATTTCGTGATTATTGAGGTAATTATTATTGTTTTTTCTATTACTGAATTTCATAATTAATACATTAACACAATTGCTGAGAAGTATTTCATTCAAGAGTGAAATATGGAGTGTTACTTTATACGATATATTATCTAGTGTAGTATCATATAAATCAGAGAAAATATGAAAAAGCAACATGTGATAAGTTATTCATGATGATCTTACTTTCACATGTGACCTTCAGGATAAACTCAAAGCCTCTCTAGAAGCAGCTTTTGGTATATGAGTGGGCGTTTTTTTCTTAAATAACATTGATAGCTTCAAGCTAAAGATTATAAATATAATATAAAATAAAAGTAGAGCAACTGAATAAAATAAATATGTGACATATTTGATCAGAAAAGTGGTTTTAGATCAGTATTCAGTATTATTTACATCGCAGTAGTTTCCTTTATTTTATGTTAATATATGAATGGATATTAATGATGTAATTATAAATATTCAGATTAATTAAAGTACTTCTTTAATTAAAATGATTAATTATGTAATAATTATTTATTAATGAAACATTCTAATATTTCTATAAAACATAAATGCAAAAGTAGTTGACAGAAATTTAATTCGTGAAATAAGATGAATTTCTCACCCTTGTAATAAAAATTGAAATCAATTTATTTTCACAAATTTTTTATTAAAATAAATTCAATTAGAAATTATATTACCAATTTTTTTCTTTTTGCTTGGCTCTATGATTCTTAAATTCGAATTAGTACAACGTGAAATTAATAAAGAGACCGACGATGCTCCAGAGCACGGAGATATGTCAAATGTCATCGGACAATGTATATCTTCGCATGATAGGAAATATATTTAGACGTTAACACGCACTGATAGATAAGTAAAAAATTGGCTCAATCGATCGTGATTGTGAAAATAATTTACGTTGTTTGACTTTAAAGCGGGAATTCCAGCTATCAGAAGCGTCACTCTGTTCGATGTAAATGAAATGCGTCAGCATAGTATCCGATAGGAAATGCATTGCACGGGACATCACATGGAAGTTGATTTTTCTTATCTTATTATATATACTCAAATCTATTCTCTTCCTTTTGCTTTAAAATTTTTCTTCGAAAGATTATCTTACTTAAAACTTGTCATCGATATTTGATACTTTCAAAATTGAGTAAAATTGAATAAAAAAATCTTGGATTCTATTTAAAATTATATGAAGAATAAGACTTTATTTTGTATATTTATATATTTTGCTTGATTTATAAGCTTATTTGTAATTGTTTATAACTAAAAACTCACATTTTAGTGTGACAGATTATGTTTGTTAGATAAAATCGTTTTGAAACCGATAAAAATATATTCACGAGTAAGTATTATACCTAAAGATTATAGACAGTGATTTTGCGAGACTCCTTAAACAAGATATTCTGGAACTGATCATTCGAGTTTCAGATACATAGTATTCGCATCGAAGTAGGCAGTATATAGTATATAATACATATGAGTTTGAAAATAATTTATTCTCTGTCGGGGAATATCCAGAAGACATCTTGAGGAAGTAGCCTCAAAGGATACTGAAGTATCCTGTTTATACGCGACTAAATCCTAATCTATAATGAAACGTGTCCGCCACTCCCTTGGGAATTTCCAACGGCATTATATATGATGTCTCGCATCTCTTTCAGGTGACATGCAAGCAGGTATTGTTCGACGTGCTTAAAGACACTGTTATTCCTGACATAAGTACGTCTGCAAGAGTTGCCTCAGTGTCAGCACAATAAAAGTATTATATATAAATTCATTCATGATTGACATTGATTCATTATAGATTCTAGGCACAAAAGCATTTTAGTTAAATGAATACTAAAGGAGAGTAAAATATAACTTATATTATGAAAGAAATGAGTTAAAATATGTTAAAGAAGATTTTCTTAGATGCGAAAAAATATTTAATTTTTTTTTTATTTTGCATTTATTCTAAATGACACTTGGATTTTCTTCTTTTGGATTTTATTTTATTTTTTTATATATTGATAATATTCCACGTATAATAACTCGAGCAAATTAAATAAAGCAAATTTTTGACAAAAATTGAATACACACAACGCAATTGATGTTACATGTCTGTAGCTGTTTCTGTGCAATTAGAAATACTAGAGGTGATAATTTTAGAGTAAATAATTCTACGTTGAACATTGGATGAATGATTGTTGGACTATTAGCGTAATGGACACTGAATAAAATTAGATAGTAATTTTCGGTTTGCGGTTGCACGGTAGGGATTCAAGATTATGTCTCATAAATTATACAGGATGTAATTTATCGAATTTTCTATTGGACTTTATGATGGACAAATTTGATGTTGCTCATTCTTCTTTAAAAAGAACTAATCTTTCTCTTCTGTCTCAACAAGCTTTTAATATTCAAATATTAAATATTTTATCGATTCTGAAATATATTCTACATCCAGAAAAATATTTAAAATTACGTTTAAAAATGTATTAATTATGAGAGCGTGGAAGTAAAATTAGTATCTTATTAGTCTAAATATAAATAATTAATTAAATTAAAGATATACCATATAAAATAAATTAATTAACGGAGATTCGCGCTTATCAGTCTGATTATGCATTCAATGCGAATTTCCATTTTGCGCATATTTCCTGCTTGTAGATATTTTTATCAAATTGTTTCCTGACTGTTTATCTCATTATATAGTCCTATTTATCTTCATAATTAGTCAGATGTGCCTGGCACAATTGATTACGTTATTCCGAATTAATATGTTATGTCGCTTGGAAACGTATTTTATATGTACAAATGGTGCAAAGCATTTTTGCATATTATTCGTACCTTGATTATTATCGGCACAAATGTATCAAATATATACTCTCGGTGATATATTAATATATCAACGTCAGTGTGCGAAATAGTGCAAAATGCGAAATGCATTATTGTTATCGCACCTGTAAGTAAAATTGCATGTTTCTCGGAATGATGTTCGTTTATGTATGGATACAACAAGTAATTATATGAAGCACATGTCATTAGACGTTATTATTACCTATGTTTACAAGATTCTGCTGTTCACCGTTTGCAATGAATGCGGAATCTGTATATTCATGGTCACGAACCAGTAACTGCAATCACTTTTTCGAGAAACGAATGCTCACCTACCATAGATATAGGTACCCCTATAGATGATCCCTATAAGCAGCTGGCCACGAGATTATTGCAATCTATTTGAATCACTAAAAATGAGAGAAAGACGGAATAGAAAGTAATAGAAAAGAGTTTAAATATTTTTAAACAAATTTCTCTGATATCATCATCAGATACATCCTTACATTATTCTTCTTCAAAAATCGTAACGTAACAAATATTTTTTGCAGATACTCGAAAATATGATTCGAGCGTGGTTGTTGTTTGGTGTTCTGGCGTTGGCTAGTGGTCAGATTGTTTACCCGGATCAATACGATTTGATAACGGCTGACCAGGGTCGTGCCTCGGCACCGCTACCTGCTAATTATCCCGCGTTGCAAGCGGCCAACAGTAGTCAGCCCGTTCAAATCGATCAACAACTCAATGGAGGACCTGTTTCGCAGTTAGGCGCCGCGAGGCCAGCAGAAAGACAATTTTACCCTACGACCACTCGCGTACCCTCGTACTCAACAGACTCGACAGCCAGTCTGCAACCCATGCCGGAGCAAACTTGGAGCAATCATGTAAATGATTATTCTGTTATTTGCACGCGTAATCATGATGAATGATGATTATTAAACCTCTCGTATTTTTTTAAGCTTTTATTTAAAGTCTTCTAAAAATATTAATGAATCAAGAAAACGTATATATCCACTCTGCATCATTAAAATTGTCAATTTTAGGTGAACAATATTATATCCAGAGGACTCACAAAGTTTTCTCTGGATTTGGATAGAGCGATTTACAAAACCTCAGGCACATCGGTGACACATCGGGAAAACGTGATCTTTTCTCCGCTCAGCGTATCCGTCGCCTTGTCATTAGTCCTGTTGGGTTCCGCCGGCAAGACATTCGACGAGGTTGCCCGAATACTCGGTTTAGAGACCGGTGTCGATATATCCCAACACTCGGAGATCGTTCATCAGATGTTCGGTCAGCTCCTGGCCATCATGAATTACAGGGTTGAAGGTAGCAATTTGCCGCGCGTGAGTTCCGCCAGTGGTATATTCGTTCAGGTATATTTATATATGTATATTCAATATTTTTATTATTTATATGTTATATATTGGTGAATAATTTGCAGCCTAATGAATTATCAAGGCTAAATCCGTTATTTAAGTTTGTAACAAAGATTTTCACGAGATAACATCCGCGAAATAACAAAATCTTTAAGTATCTAATATAATAACTTATTGATGATGAAATTTGCGGATTAAACTTTAGGAATACAAATAGATTAAATATTTTCCTTTATTTCAATTTTAAATAAAGAACTTCTTTTTAATAGACTTGACGTATTTTTAATTCCTATTCTAGCAAGGATATCCGATTCGACCCGAATTTCGCGCGATCAGCGAAAATGCGTACAGTAGCGAGGTGATAAATTTAGATTTTCGAACAAAAAGCAGGGAAGCGCGAGACACAATAAACGCTTGGGTGAAACAACGAACAATGGATAAAATTAGTAGTATATTGAGCGAAAATCCGGATTCGTTGACCACCGTGATTCTTTTATCCGCGCTTTACTTCAAAGGAGAATGGAATCAACATTTCATGGCAACCGCGACACGGAGGTACGTGATTTTGCTATTTATTTCAACTGATGCATAGTGTAAAAAAACGATCCCGTTTTTATTCTCTTGGTGATTATAAAATTTTTTTCGTTGCAGGAGACCATTTTTTATCGAACCGAATGACACGGTCGAGATAGATATGATGTATAACGGCGGTAATTTTCCCTTTTACGAGGACAAATCGTTGGGTGTTAAAATAATAGCTTTACCTTACAAAGGCTTAGAGGTAAATGTTTGAAAATATTAATTATATCGTTACTCTTTAATTTAATAGTGAGATAAAGTTAAATTACCTTTCAAAATTTTACAAACTTGAGCTGTTTTCTTTAATATCTCTTTATATTATTATCTACGCGTTAATAAATTTAAATGTTTTGTCTCGGCGAATTGTCTCTTTTAAGTAATATAATTCACGAGGACTTTTTTTTAATTCCAAGACATCTATGTACGTGCTTCTGCCGAAAGCTGAAGGTGCCGCCGCATTGAAGAACTTCCAGGACCAACTGACGGCTGAGACTATTGAGTATCTAATAAGCAATACAAAAAACGAGACTTGCATCGTCGGCCTTCCCCGTATGAAACTCTCGAGCACATTGAATTTGAACGACGCGCTTCATAATCTAGGCCTATACTCATTATTCGATCCGAAGACTGCGGATTTAAGCCTCTTGTCGAACGGGTTCGGCCAAACATCACAAGCACCACAAGCAGCAATTGTGCCGGTGCCGCAAGCACAAGCTGCGCCGATTCCACAAGCACAGGCTGCGCCGATTCCACAAGCATTCCCTACGTCGATTCCTCAAGCACAGGCTGCGCCGATTCCACAAGCATTCCCTACGTCGATTCCTCAAGCACAGGCTGCGCCGATTCCACAAGCATTCTCTACGTCGATTCCTCAAGTATTGTCCTCGTCGATTCCGCAAGCATTGCCTACGTCGATTCCACAAGCATTGCCTTCATCGATTCTACAAGCGTCATCGCAAATACCACGGCAAATTCCTCCCGCTCAATTGCCAAATACCAAGACCGACGAATATTTAATTTTCTCACGGTTCGGGAATAACAATAATCAAGGCGTGGTTAATGGCGCAAAGAGGAATTACTTTACATACGACGATAAAAGACGCGGAGTCAGCGTGGAGCAGTGGGACACGGGTTTCAACATTCGCACGATAGGTAGAACGCGTCGCGACGCTCGGAACGGAAAGCAACGCAACGAAACGAAGTCATCGCGTGTGGCGTACGTCATGGAGAAAGATGAGCTTGAGAAAGTCGCGCCAAAGATTGACGATGCGAGTACGAAATACGTGAGCTTAGAGGAGAATAAGTATCGTTTCCAAAATGCCGAAAGGAATAGCAGAAACAAACGACAGAGCCGACCCATAGACCAGAACTTCTTGAAGTTCATGCAGACTCAACAGTTACCTTTTTATGGTCTGGATAATCTGCGAAACAGCGCGAATCTCGTGAATCCCGGCCTGTACGCTACCGAAGTGTTGCACAAAGTGGAGATGGATGTGACGGAGAAGGGGACGGAAGCCGCGGCGACGACCGCGGTGCTTTTGCGTCGAGATGGCAATCAGAAAAAGCTGCTTGCCAATCGGCCTTTTATGTTTTTCATCAGGCACGATCCCACGAAGCTCATTCTCTTCTGGGGAACGGTGAATGTGCCGACTCCAAACTACGCCGTCGTCAGATGAATGCGCTGTGAACATTCCCTATAGATATATCGGAGTTCACTTTCCTCTTATTTCTAATATAATTCCTACTTATTTTTTATATATTTATATATTTGTCTCTTAATTCGAACAAATGCGACTGTTTTATGCCTTTTTATATACATATTTTGCACTGCTATAGAACGATTTCCGCGCAGCTTATCGCGGTCACAACGAATATTGAATTGTATAATATCCTAGTTTTATATATACCGGGTGTCTCAGACTACCCGTATCACCCGATTTATTCGTAAACGCAACATTTTAGAGAAAAATGTTCCAGACCAAAGTTGTATGGTTTCAAGGAGTACATAAGATGGTGTTATTAATTTCACCTTAAATAGTTGCTTGAAGGTCACGTAAAGGTCACCTTTAATTTTTTAAATAGAACTACCTACTTTTTATTACATATTCTTGTAGATTATCTCGAGGGCTTTCCAAAACACTATAAGAAAGTATTTTTTCATTAAGAATTTTTGGAATTATAAGGCTTGAAAGTTCTAGTATTTTGACATAAAATACAAAATATCTTGTAAAACATCAAGTTTTCGGTAATGTTACCTTAACACTTTTATGCACAAAATAATGAAACGAATCAATTGGCATAAAAAAAGTATAGTTCCTTTAAGAAAAAATATGTGATTTGCAACACGTATCTGCATACTTTTTCTTAAAAACAACTGTCTTTTTTTCATATCAATTGATTCGTCTCATTATTCTGTGCATAAAAGTATTAAGGTAACATTACCGAAAACTTGATGTTTTACAAGATATTTTGTATTTTTAAGGTAAAACTAATGACACCATCTTATGTACCCCTTGAAACCATACAACTTTGGTCTAAAACATTTTTCTCTAAAATGTTGCGTTTATGAATAAATCGGGTGATACGGGTGGTCTGAGACACCCGATATATATATATATATATATATATATATATATATATATATATTATTATACGTTTGTAACGCGTGCGCCTTAAGCCTATTATCGCGTCGTATATCTATATTGTAAGTTAAGACGATGTCACAATCGTACGCTTTAAGTAGAAATAAACACAATGTTGCATTTTATTATAATAACTAACGATGACGATCGAAACGCAATTTACGCAAGGAATATAGATAAATAAGATAATAAATGCAGATAACTTCAAATTTATAGAATTACGGATAAATCTCTGATGCAATTACGATGACGCTCTGATTAATTTAGTAAAATTGATTATGATACGATGCGCAGATTTCAAGCTTAATCTCATTTTCAAACCATATACGGTTCATCTTGCTCTTAGTAATAAATAAAGTTCCTTCAAATTCTTGAGAATAGATATGTCAAATCAATATATATATATATATCTTATTAGATGAGGTGTATACTCTAAATTAGTTTAAATATAATTGCGTCTATAATTAATTATATTATTTAATAGTTGCAATGTGATACGTATTTAATAGATATTAATTACGTTATTATTTTGATAATTTTTACACTTTTCGAATCGATAATTCTCTTTAATTTGTTATGACTGTTACAATTTAGTGGCATGTTATCAATGCGAAAAGCGCTAGGATCAGTAAATAGTGGACTTTTGCATCACTTATACATGCATAGATTTTAAACATCTATCGATTCGAAAAGTGTAAAAATTATCAAAATAATAACGTAATTAATATCTATTAAATACGTATCACATTGCAACTATTAAATAATATAATTAATTATAGACGCAATTATATTTAAACTAATTTAGAGTATACACCTCATCTAATAAGATCTAGACTAAAATCTAAACTGTCCACCTTTAGGCTAGATTATAATACACCTGATTGCTTGTTTTTTTATCATTATTTTATTGAACGGGACAGTCATATATATCATTCAAAATCTCTCTTCAATTGGGTAAAATTGCTGCTCGAGGATGTCAAAATAATCGTGTTGACCTATTGCCAATTTGTCAACCACACCTGACAAGTTTCAGGCGCATTTAAATAAACCCATAACTCGCGCCCATTCGAAACACGTGCGCAAAACTTGTGTAACGTTCGAAATTAATTCGTTAACGATATATTATTTGTCAAGGATCGGCAGTCGTGTCCTACAGATCGTCGCGTGTGTATCATCGCGTGTATATCGGCGCCGTGAAAATAAAGGATCTCCGACCAACGGATCCCCTTCTAATATTTCGCGTTTTCTAAGGTGGATGCATGCTATGGCAGAATACGCGTGGTGATCATGATCAAACGAGATTATCGCGAATCTTGAATGTCGCGCAAGATTTGAAAGCGCTCTCCGCTTTACTTAATTCGCAGTCGTTTCCATTTGTCATTGATCTCGCCTGTTTGGCCTTTCGACGAGAGTATCTAAAACTGGAAAAATGGTTAACGAATAAGATCAGAGCCTAGATCACGGTGAAGTTTTTGTCGCTGCATGTGTCAAGTTCCTACAACGAGATGCCCTCAAGTCATGGGCCCTGGTATCAGGCAAGATCCTACAGTTTCAGAGGCAAGCCAACTGCAGAAGGAAACACTCACTACAATCTTGGCTTGCTTACAAGTTTGCGCCGGAAGTGTCTCCCAAGAACTCTCGGAGGTAATAATGACAATGGTGCAGAATTCTAATGCTGAGTAAGAGCACCATGAACAGACCACCACCCCCAGTGAACACATTTCATAACGGCAATATAACATGGAAGTTACATGTAATATCACAATGTTATTCTTATATAAGGGCTACATATAACATGGAAGAAACATGCAATTTAACATTTGTTATATGCAAGTAATATAACTGTTATACATTTTTTTTGGCGTTACAGTTATGTAACAAAAATTGTGTAATTGTTCCCTGGTAACCAGTTTGCTAGTTCAGATGCATCCCGAAGAAGTGCGCAAGAAAACAGTCCAAAATTGCGACAAAAATGCATAATATCTGTGATTGAACGAGTACTTATGTACTATTGCAGTAGTCTGCTGTAAGAAGCTACTTTTCGTGCAGTTTTACAGCAGAATTGAAAAGGAATGGTTACCAGGGTTACGTAACACGCTTGGATCAATGTTAGTATAACTAGTAATATTCTGGTAATATTAATGGGGTGTAACGGAATAACATATACAATATAAGACTGTTGATTTGCTTACTGTTCACGTTTTTCTATGTGTCCGGGCTTTTAAACCAGCATCGTTTTATTTTGCTAGAGCTAATAATGATCTGCGCTTTTCATCATAAATTTTCAATTGTTTTTAAATATATATATTTTGTTTGAAAGGTTTAAGGAGGTTCGATGGCTTCATCGGAGAGAGTAGTGGGACGCGGGAATTCTGGAAACAGCGCACTAGCGTTTGAAGTAGTAGGAATGAAGGGGATTGCTCTGATTGGTCGCCGCGTGTATAATGCGTGCTGCTGTTCACGTCGTTCACGACCATGGCAGTCTATGCAGACAAAAAATCAAGCAATTTATGCTTTAATAATTAATTTTTCTACGAAATGTGCGGTAACCTTCCCCTTTCTTTTGCTCATTTATTTGTAAATTATTAAGTTACATGTGCAAATTTCTTTTTCTTTATCATTTGCATTTTTTCTTGCACTTATTTCATTCTAAAGGTATATGCAATATGTCATTTCCCATAAAAACCATAAGAACCTATGTTAAAAATGCAGCCAGTTTCATGCAATTTTAATATGTTGTTCTGGAATGCAAAATAGAATTATGTGAATTTTTTGGGAATTTTTCACCGTCCCGTTTTGAAAAAAATCTACTCCAAAAACCTAAAAAGTACAATTTTAGGAGTAGATTTATTTCAAAACGGGACGGTGAAAAATTCCCAAAAAATTCACATAATTCTATTTTGCATTGCAGAACAACATATTAAAATTTCATGAAATTCTCTGCGTTTTGTTGTAGCCATCGAACCACCTTAATATTGTGCAGAGGCCTTTTAGTTTGCCTTAAGGCAAAAATTATAATTTACAAAATACATAATTTATAATTAATAATTTACAAGATATTTATAATTTATATGATCAATTTATATAATCATCTATCATCTATCCGTATCGGTAAATAACGTAATTAATCATCATGATGCATATTACCATTAC